AACAAACCGTACCCCCGCAAGCATATTAGAAAAGGAGATAAAAAATTACGCGTTAGGAGATTTTCTTTATTCAATCATCATATTATGAAATCGGACGGTTCGTTAGAGAGTTATTGAGTTATAAACATTTACTGCTTTCTCTTCAGAAAAGGCCGTTTCCTTTTGCTTCCTCACTACCGAACGTCGACAAGCATTTTTTTTTTTTTTTTTTTTTTTTTTTATTGAATAATCGAAAGTTTTATAATTACTACAGTAATTGAAATTATCATTTGAAGAATTTATATGATTCTCCTTATATAGGTCAATACTATTATACGACGTATAATATACGTTTTTTTATTAATTTTTTAATTTAGTTCAACTCAGACTGTTTCTGATGATTATGAATGACGGCTTATTCACTCAGATGATTATGAATGTTCAATTTGAATCATGACAAAAATAAACCATTAGAATTAGTTTAAATTGAAGCGATTTTACAGAAAAATTTGTTTCCCAACTTTTTAAAAATGACAGATGTCCTTTGCTACTAATCTACTCATATGTGCTTTCTATTTTCTTTCTTCTTCATTTTGCCAGGCTAAGCCACAGCAGTGCGTGGCCGGGTAAAGCTAGTTTAACTTATAAATTATTATGGATTGTAGGACTATTAGTTATTAAACTTTTCTAATTTTCTATTGTAAAGTTTACTAAAATGAAATTACGAGTTTTTTATTGCTTGCCATGGATAAGTATGGTAAGGGGATAATGTTGGGATTTCACAAAGGGAATATTCATCAAATTATTCACTAATTTAATTTTCTAAAAGATTATTTGGATTAAATGGCTAATAGATACCTAATTATTTAAATATAATATCATATCTAGAGTTATTATACTACAGTAAGTGTATTGAAAGTTATAAACATATGCTTTGTACATCCATGAAACATATCCATGCAATATTTTTATATTTCACTTCTTCGTCCACACAAATACAATGAAATATTATTTTAAACAATGGCATTGGATTGATTCGGTGGATTTTAAACACTTTTTTCAAACTTTGAAAAAAAATTTAAAGTTTATATTTAGTAAGAAAATTTCTTTAATTTTAATATTCCTTATTTATAGTGGAGCATTATTTTAGAGGTAAAAACATCAGTGATGCCATAGTTATGACAGGTAGTTTATTTTAAACTTCATCTGAAAATGCTAAATTCAAATATGCAAAATAGTACAAAACTAATTGTTTCAGAGATTAATTCATATTAATTAAAATCCGATTAGTTTATAATTGTTGATACATTTAAGTTTTAAAGAATAAGATTCACCAAGATTTGAACATTTTATTGGTCAAACTCTAGATAAAATTATTTATATTATATGATTTTGCTACTGTATTAACATGATTTTCAGGTATTTTACCACGATCCTAAATTTAGTTACGGTACGGCCACATTATTTGCCGAACTGTTCAATAATCCGTATAGGCTGCACAGGAAACAGGCTACATTTGGCAAATCCTTACCACACATGATTGTTGTACCCAAAAGAAGGAGACGATCCGCTAATAATTTCGAAATAACATATACAAATAAAAAAATAATTGCGGTAACTCTGTTGAAGAATTAGTTAACATTACAGGAGCGCACGAAAAATTTCAGTCAACTCTTGACTGTCAATGAAGCAGAGTCAGAAGAAAATATTTCATTCCAATCTGTTGGAATGTTGTTATGTTCCTATGATTCTATTCGGGAATGTTCCTATTCCACGAAAATCTCAACCCACAAACCTTAGTCATCAAGATCATAGTGAGTGCCAATGATCGTATTCCTGTATAAGAGCAATTTCACCCATTCAAACTCGGTCAAATTAGAAATTATATTATTAATTGATTTTTTTCTAGGCATTGAAAATTAAACTATTTCTAAACTTTATAAACAAATACATAAAGCAAAATAAAAAATAACTGTCGAATTCGCTTAAGATCAATTTATACTAGTTAAATTGATTTCTTTACACTGTCGAGTTCGAGCTGTACTTTAACGCCTCTAAAGACATTTTCACAAAATATATTTCAATCTTCAATACTGATTTAACATGTAGCTGAATATACGTCGAAGAGGTTTCCTTAGAAAAAAGAAAATAAATACCATGAAAATCAAATTTCATCTCCATTTGTAAAAGTATTGTTACACACCTTTCATATTATTAGTTGGAGTAACAAAAATTCATAGATAACGGTTTATTTTTATGAAAATAAGATAAACATATCAGTTTTCGTAATCATTAACCGTTATTTATAATCCAGTACATAAACAATTTTACAATTCAGTAGACATTTTTATTTATAGTTTAGTTTAACGGTATTTATATTGTTATTTTAAAACATAATTTAATAAATTAAAATATTGATTTTCTTCAATATGCAAAATAGATCGTGATACAGGCTCCTTTTTATCAAATTATTAACATCCTTCTGAAACTTCGTAAAAAGCTTCATCTCATCGTAACCTACAAATATTCCATTTACGAAAATTCTCGGAATAGGAACGTTTTCAATCTAGAGGTCGGCAAACTTTGTCTATTTAAATTGGTACTAAAAACTCGTAAATACCCATTTGCTTGTCACTTGAATCGGAAGATAACTTTAGCACAAAGTCGAGAAAAAAGGTGGCCTTCAAAAAACAAAAGGAGCCGTTTGCCGTGTCCTGCACCCCCAAATTGTCAAATTGGCCTATATGCATTATATAGGCCAAAAAGCGCAATATTTTTTAAGGTCCCCCTTTTTTCGATGAAATTACCTTACGATCCAAATGGAAAGTGAATGGCTATTTACGAGTTTTTAGTCCCTAATTAAATAGACAAAGTTTGCCGGCCTCCAGATTGAAAACGTCCCTATTCAGGGAATTTTCGTGAGTTAAATATTAGTACGTTACGATGAGATGAAGCTATTTACGAAGTTTCAGACGGATGTTAATAATTTTATGAAAAGGGGTCCACACCACAGACTATAATGTTTTATTTTTGACGATCTATAATTCTCAAAATAATTAATATTATTTGCATTGATAATTAGAGAAGGATGTGATTAATGAAGTAGTTCCTTCCTAAAAGAATTGATTAAATGATGGAAATAAGCAAGATTATGAATGTGTACAAAAACATATATTATCAAGCGATTCATTCATACAGACCTAAGTAAGTTCGTGTTCAAATTTATCAGACAATGCAGTGTGAATGAATGTGATATACCTATAGACATTTAATATTAATATTAACATTATTAAGTTCCTCTATGTTTTTCTAATGATAAATAAATGATTTCTTCTGCTGAATAATGTAGATCTTACTGATAAGTAGCTCAAAACATTGTTTTATCTAGAATGTTTTATGAATAACAGATAAAAAATACTATATCTTCAATCTAAAAGAATATGATAAGATAAACATATTTAAAATTTCATCAGTGCCTGTGGTATATCCAAGGAACTCGGAATTTCCAGTATTGCAGAAAAAATATAATATTCCAGATTTATTAAATGGATGTGATGATACAAAAAATGAATTCTTATATAAGGACCTTAAAATACAGAAAAATGTTGGTGTCGGAATAGAATATTATCATATAAAGTTCACGAAATTACAATTATAATAAACATAATCAGGTATATAATAAGTTTAAATATAAAAATAAATCAGTAATTGCTTCATTTAAGTAAACACGTGTATGAGGAAAATTGTTAATCTTTATTTGAATTATATTAATTTATTTTATTAGTTTATTTTTATTTATAAACACTTATTTATAATAACATATATGTATATTAATTAAATTTATTATCTACATGAGAGCTTAAAGTGAATTAAGCGCAATGGTCAATATGTTTATTTCATTACAAGTATTATACATCGGTAATTATATTTAACAAGCATTCAAATCATTAGTTATGCCCAAATAGCGCGTGAGCAATTACATGAATTATTACATTATTAGTTAGTTTCGATAAATTGTACTTCTAATTTATATTTATCCCGGTGTGCCTATTGATAAATGTTAAGTTTTATAAAATTATCCTAGCAAATAAAATATATTATACTTGCTAATCGATGTTTACATTAATTTTTAAAGGCGCCACAAATCCATGCATTTGTGCTTTCTAATGTCTTTGTCTATTTACTTATTACAACGATAATGATAAAGTTTGTTTAAAGCAAACTCATTATAAATCATATAATTACTAATTGAAATACTTAAAAGAGCAAAACCATTCTTTTATAAAAAAGGCACGAAAATTTAAACAAGAGGCTTTTTAATAAACAGCAGTTACTGCTAGGACTGGCGTTGTGCAACCCACAATTATTTCTGATGTTGGGAGGCGCCATTTAAAACGAGAGTCACTTAGGAGCACTCCTCCGTCCATTCTACAGGCAGATGCTCCATTACACATTTAATGTACATTCTGCAATTTTAATTTGATAGAAGCTGAATCTTTTTTTTTTAGATTTTCAGGCAGCATATAAGATTCTGTTTGATTCGGTTTATTGTACAATATATAGTGGCGACTCTTTAAATTATATATTTAAACAAACGAAAAATTCTGAAGTATTTTTAAAATATATTTACATCAGTTTAAGGATTTTTGTATTTTCGTTTTAAAATCATTCTTCTCGGATGATAAAAGGTAAGAGATGTCAATTGTATATGAGCGACGCAAATTATTCCTTAATAGTTCATGTAGGTATGATATGCTATCAATAAATATGTGGAGTTCATTATTATAATTATGACAAATGAGCAGTAATATAAAAATATTATACATAATGAATTTTATTCATAAATGATAGAAAAAAATAAAAGTCAATGATGTAGGAGGCAGACACCCATTCATGCACCAGTTGAAGTTGCCAGGTCCACAAGTCATTAGATATTTGACAGATCCTTCCCTAGGGCTGCGAGCACACTCCGCCATACATGAGGACAAATCAAAACACACAGGCATACATGGACTACTGACCTACAGCGTTGGCATCTTGAAGAGAACCTGTCAGGGCAACAAGTGAGAACTGACTGAGCAGGCGGCCGGGGAGGAGCCCATTGCGCATGATCCGGCCCCCTCCCCGGGGCTTCGCCCCGCAGCACCCCCCGGCCCGGCAATGACGATTGGAAATGACTGCGGGCGGCCCAGGGACAGCAGCCCAAGGAAGGCCCCACAGGGCAGGATGGTTCTGGAGGACCTGGATGTAGCCTAGCCGATGGCACCACTCCCTCGATCGCAGGGCGGTAATGCGTATTGATTGGGAGCGACCAACCTGTTGGCCTCACCTGCCATCTAGATTACTTCCTCACAACCCTTCGGCCTTCTTCCTCTCCTCGTCTTTCTTGGTTATCCTAGAGGATGAGGCTAATAACTATATTAACGCAAACGAGTAAATAATCAACAAGTGACAGAAAATCGATATTAGGTTGTAATTGTAACCACACAGTCTTTTGTCTCTAAAATGCAGGTAAAGAATAAAATAATCCATCGACATTTCACCAATTCAGGCATCATCAAGACAGAAAAAAAAGAAATCCCATCACTACGATAATATACTGAACAAAAACTGGTAAGAACAAAAAAGGATTTGGTAATGTAAATAACTATACCTAAGCGAATGGGAAGCAAGAAGGTAGAGGATGGTTCGAAAGGGGGGGGATGGTTCGTACTGAGCTACAAAACGTATGTCAATATCTTTTTAGTTTCATGGAAATCATTTGCGGTATTTGAGCTCATTATTTTACTTTACTGGTACTGGTACTGGTGGGTGGAGAGGAGAGTCCGGAAAGTAGGTATCGTGATCCTTTTTGGCAAATCCTGACTGCTACCTTGGGGTTGCCGTTACTTACTTGCCAAGTAGGAACCAACCCTACAACGTTCAGATCCGGGGCCCACGCCCCAACGTGCTCGATCTTCACGTCCTCAGTAATTTAGTTTAAACACAGAAATTGAAAAAGACATTTAAATGGCTTTAAACTTATTTCATATTTCATACTCAATATTATCAGAGATTTTAGAACGTTCCTTAACAAATTCTTTTGAGATATCTCTTAGCTTCAGATAACTTTAATCTGCCTTTTCATATTCCATTACGAAATAAATATCGATAAGTTTCTAACAATAGTGTTTAATTTTCAAGAATAAGTATTAGACATCGCACGAGTTATAAATTGGATCCATAACTAGGCTGGTGGGAAATATATAATCTGATAATTCATATAATCAATAATTTATGAGCTGCGAATAACATGTATTTGTAGAAAAGGAAATAGATGGTTATTTTCAAACAGTGTTCCATTCCAGTCAATACTGTAAAGTCGCCATCCCACGCACACGTTACGTCAACCCGCTCCTACCCAACGTTATTAGCTCTTTCACGGCTGAATACTCAACAATATTGTATTGTATTGACACAATGAATGTTTCGAAGACAACGTATCTCATTCTGAATAGTACATTAACATTTTTCTAGAATATTTGTTATTTCTTATTCGGAAAAAGAAAATAAATATAAAATTTATATAATTAAGACGACTATGAAATAATATAATACAACATAAGTCGCTATATTTTTATAGTCACATCGATACCCAGTTTCAGAGATTGTTTATATACGTGGCTTATACGCAAGGTCTTTTTTTAGTCAATGAATGAATAAATGAAAATAATTTTATTATTCTGTGACTAGTGTCCCTTTATAACAAATAATAAATACAGAATATATATTAATATTCTGGTCCATATAATATGTTGTATGTTCATATAATACAATTAAATATTTACAGGACAATTAGTAAAAAAAAAAAATTACAGATAATGAAAAGATATAAAAACGTACATAGATATAAAATAAACAGAGAAAGTAAAATAAATAAACAAAATATCAATAAATCAGAAAATAATCAAAGTATCTGGGGGTACTTTGAGATTCTTTCGACTTAGATATTTAAATGCATTTCATGATCAACCGAAACGGAGTAGGTGTTTAAAGAGGAAAGATTTGAAAGATAATACTGATTTGGCGTGTCGAATATCAGAGAGGATAGAATTCCAGAGGGAGACAGCTTGAATTAAAAAATATTTGTCAAACGGAGCAGTTCGGTCAGGAGGAGGATAGAGGCCGGAAGTACGGGATCTGGTGGGACGAGATTGAAAGGAGCGTTTTAATTGTAGGATCTGTAGAATATAGGAGGGTAGCCGAGTTCTGATAGCCTCGTATAGGAATGTAGTAAGGAAAAACCGACGAAAGTAGGACGGATAAAGCCACTTCAACTCGGTGTAAAACTGGGTAATATGCGTATCCCTAGAGATCCCATAGATAAAGCGAAATGAGCAATTCATTAGACGTTGGTTTAGCTTCGAGTTCTTCCAAGAGTCCACCATAAAGTCTTAGTCGAACTATACAAAACCAGGAATTGACGGGTTTTGAATGGAAGAAGATAACGTAGATGGTCAAACTGTTTCAGGGTGGAAATAGTAATGCCGGAAATTTTGGAGGTGTGTGATTTCCAGGTGATGGAGGGTAACGCCAAGGTTTTTTACGGTAGTACGGAAGGAGATAAGTGAGTTGTTTAGGATAAGATTGGAAGGTACTGAAAAAATTTAATTTTACATTTATGACGCCATTATCTACATACTTTTTAAAAGCCTGATATCTATTGAGGAATTAGGATATACAATTCCAGAAATATCTTGTCGGGTATGGGAAAAACAATATCTTCCCCATTGTGGATTTTGATGTAGTTTTCACTTATCACCTGAGGGGAAAATTGATGTAAGTCAAAAACTGATGCTTCGACACATCAGGAGAAATTCTGTTAGGTTGGGTTAATAGGAATAAACTGGTTGGTTAGTGATATAAGAAAATAAAAAAATAGAAATTATTTGAGTCCTCAACATGCCTTTTTTATTTCATTGGCAGTTTAGAATTTAACAATCGGTATTAATAAATTACAACAATCGAATTGTAACTCAATGAGTACATGATCCGTTGTATGTATAGGTGGTGTAATAATAAATAAATAATTTATTTCTGAGTGATAAACCCAGTTTATTCTTATTAACCCACCTTATTAGAATTTCTTCTAAATTGGTGATGCATCAGTTTATGACTTACATCACTTTTACCCTCAGATGATAAGTGAAAACAACATCCAAATTCACAATGGGGAATATATTTTTTCCCATGCCTGAAAGGTATTTCAGGCGTTATATATCCTTATTTCTTAATAGACATCAGGATTTTAACGTGTTTCAAAAATATGTAAATAACAGCGTCACAAATGTAAAATTAAATTAAATTTAAATTTATATTAATGATATACTTAAATGAATAAAATTCTACATGTTTTATTTTCTTTAATTTCACTCCCGAACTGTTTTCTTAATATTATAATAACAAGATTCTAAATTTCATTTAAAAATACGAAAGACAAACAAGTACCATCAAATAGATAAAATATAATCCGAGACTAAATTGTGAATGTATGGATATTGGAGAAATATCTAAAACAGTAAAAACTAGGATAGTCCATTAAAAAAAAATCAGCTGCGCACAACACACATCTTTCACTTACAGCTCAACTTTGAGTAGAAATTATTTTCTGGCCATATTGGGCTATTATAACATTTTTTAATAGTATTTTTCATATAGCTAAAAGATTACAGCTAAAAAAATCATAAATACTACTAAAATTACAAAAGTCCTATTTATTATATCACCGATTGATTGTGGATTGAACGACTATTAGTTATTAAACTGTTATTTTTCATTGAAAAGTTTACTAAAATGAAATTATGAGATTTTCATTGCCTGCCATGGATAAGTAAAAATTTGTCACACTAATTGAAAGTGGATAATGTTATCAAATTATACACTAACTTCCAACGATATATTATACGTATATCTTCTGGACTAGTGTTTCCGGAGATTCATTTTCGACCTGGATATGCACATTTATTTTTTTCTCTTTTATTCAATTATCAAATTCTTTCAAATGTTATTTTTTTTTTCGTTACTCTTAATAATTAAAACACAAATTTAAATACAAATACAAAATACAAACACACTCTTAAAAATTAAAGACCACTGAATTATACAAAGATACACCAAGTTTAATCAAAATCGTTAGAGCCGTTTTTGAGAAAATTGTAAAGATGTGTTTCATTCACCGTTGATGTAAAATGGCACTTTCGGTTAACTGATTTTTACAGCCGAAATAGTTGTTGTGACATCCAAGGTATATACCTATCTTAAATACATAATATTAGTTTTGTGTGACTGGTCGTTTTTAGCTAAACTGTCTACATACACACACAAACCATTTTGCAGTTATTTGGACTAAAGGGACCTCAAAACGTGCATTTCCGTTTAAAATTCAGATTCGAAAAGTTCCACGATCGCAATGCTTTTCTCCCTTACTATATAATTACATATATAGGTTAGTGAAAGTAAAAAAGGTATGAACTTTTAATTTGAAATATACATATACCACATTATTTAAAGTACAAAGAGAAAAAAAAAAATAACTAATTCATATTACTTATTTATAAATTAAAAAACGTCTAGCACAAACCCTCAAAGCTGCTCCCCAAGATCGATCAAGTAGTATTATGTTATACGTAGTATGATTTTGTAGTATATCTAAAAAAAAAAAAGAAGTAAATCAGGGAAAAATTTAAAAAAAATGCTAAGAAGACAAAATTACCGAAATAATAACCATCAAGAACCGAAGACATTAGATCAATGACAGAGCCATAATCGAAAGGATTGGAACAGCAACTTGTTTAACGACCCAATCGAGGTTACACTCGTAAATCTTTTAAGTACCGGTGGGGATTGAAAGTCCATAAACTTGCCTGATCCTGTACGATTTTAGTACACAAGACAAATAGAGTGAATTATGAAGTGAATAAAAAATAGGAAACTTAATCAAGTTTTTGATTAAATTAATACAAATAGAAAATTCAGAAAAATATAAAAATAACCTGAGAATTTTTTAAAAATCAAATTTAAAT